TATGGATGCCAACAGGAATGGCTTTATTCCCGCTCTTTGTATTAGAGACATCTGAGTGTTACGGGATCCCTCAGTCCTGGCTTCCTCGGTGTTCCCATATCGGGCACGAGTTGTGTTTCTGCTGATGCAGTGTCTTCTGGGTTGTCTCCTGGTGTAGGCTGCTGTGCGTTTCACTGGAAAGCAGATAAATGATACCAAGTCACTGAGCTTATAAGTAGCATGCTGGCAACCTGCCACCAAAATATAAATACATTAAATGTACTGAAGGAATGTTCATTCTGTTGTTTAGCCTTGGATATGCCCCAGTTAGGTAAATTTAATCTTCTTGAGGGTTGTTGAGCTGCAGCTGAATGAGATAGGCTGTTATCTTAATACTGATCTTTCTGTCATTCAGGATTCATGTTCTGGCATTCGTGGTGTGAAGTGTGCTTCCCCCAGAGCAGTCCTAGAAGTGTTTTCCAAGGGAGATGAAGGTGCATAGGAGATCTATTAGCACCTTGCAAGTTTTCACCTTTTATCTTGGTTCATGCTCATTGTCAGTGACACCACTACTGGTCCAACCTTCTGTTGGTAGAAATGTACAAAATAGTGGCTGTGCCTGTGTTTGTTAGGAAATGTCTGTAACTCAGTCCCACAGCATTTATTTTCTTCCCGGATATTTCTCCTGCAGCTCCTTCCAAAATCCCTGTCTGTGCCTCTGCTGCTGTTGAGGCTGGGAACAAAGCTCTTGATGACTCCAGGGTGACAGGGGCCAGTTTTCAGCAGCAGACCCGAAGCCAATGGATTGCATTAAAGAGGAGCCTCTTCATTGTTTGCCACTGGTGCTGGGTCAGGCCCTCAAATGTGATCCTGCGGTATTAATGCTTGTGACTAATCCCACTGAAACCTAGGGAGCTGCTCCCATGTGGAAGCACTACCAAATCAGTGTGCAGTGTCAATGAACGCTCTGCAACAGTTTAGCTCTTCTCTTGGTTGTACAACGAAGGGAAGGGATGAGGCAGGAAAAGGGAAGGAGAGGGAATACATGAGCAGAGAAATTCTGAGCTGATTGTGAAGATGTTCTGTACAAAATGCAAGTACTTAAGATATCAGCTGTGTTTCTACAGATAAGAAAATGTTATTTTATTGAATGGAGAGATATATATGTTTTACCTATCACATCTGAACTAATCAGTGTAGGCTTTTAGAAGAAATCTGTAATTACTCTGAGCACATCATTAGTTAGATGTAAAATGAATGATATTGCTCCATTTTATTACCTTTAGTGATATAGCCATTTGTATCATAAATTCATTGACCTCATCTTAAATGATCAATTCTGTAAGACATACTTGATTCATCACTTGATTCACAATTCTTAAGTGATATTTTTTTTCTCCTCTACTAATTTCCTCATTGTTGTAGAGACTGTTTTTCTGCCTTTTAGTAGGGTATTGTGAGGTGTCATATTACCTACATATAAGTTCCACATTTTTATACTTTTTATCTTAACTAAGCAGCACAGATGATTGCTTATGTACATAAAAAGAATAAGAGAAAGTAACAAAAGAAAATTATGAAATACATTAATGTAGATGATGGACATTTTTCACTGATGTTGTAGCTTCAACACTTTGAGATGTTGCATGAAATCAATGAGATAATTATTGAATATTTGGTCTATGCAGGGTATTCAGAGGAACAGATTTGCTGCCTTTAATTTCTCTGGCTTTAATTAATTTTATCTAGTGATAAAATATACAGAAGGGTCTGTGATCAATATGTGAGTGAGGCAGAGTTTCTTGTTCCTCACCGAATTATTGAAAACTGGAGAAATCAGGAGAGAATTTGTAAGCAGGATTTCTAAATATTTTACCAAGGAAGAGAAAATATTTGTTTAGCCAGGAGAGGCACAGGAGCCCACTGGAGATAAACAAATCAATACAGCAATAATGCAGTGGAGTGTTTCAGTGAATTTTTCAAATGCTAACTAATGAAATTAAATTATTAGAAAAGATGCCACAATTTTTTGTGGGCCTGTATTTCTCTTTCAGTCCCTTTAGTTAAGGTCATGGATGGGGCTCTTCCTCAAAAGATAAGGAGACTGGGTTTACTCTCTCATATTTCTCAGGTGCTTCTTTGGCAGTGGGTTTACAAGGTGGTTTACTTCCTTGTCCCAAAGGAAGGGCAAGCCTTCGCTGCAGATGCACCTGAAGTCCTGCTCCATCCCTTTCTGCAGACACCTCTGAGGCCACTCTCCTTGTCTTTCCACTGCAAATACATGGTGATGGGTCAGGGTGGGCTTCATCCTGCCCTGGCCTGCCTTAGGAGCTGTCTGGGAGCTCCCAGTATCTCTTTGTACCGCTCCTGGGGTACATGTGGAGACCCTCTGCATCTTTGCCAGACTTTGGGGCAAGAGCATACTCTGCAAGCAACAGGAGGAGTGTGGTGGAGTGTATCCTGATTCCATACATGCAAAATAGATAGCATTTTGTGGCTACAGCAGTGAGCTCTCACTCAGAAATATCTTTAAGGTAAATTCAGCAGCTCTACTGAGTTAAACAGTACGCTATTACCTCATAGTGTAGACTCACAAATTCCCCTTTTGTCTGCTTCAAAAACAGTGGCAAGCCAGAAAATTTCAGGAGGTTGATTATAGGATGGTTCCATCATCTGTGCTGCCTTGCCAGGTGGGTGGCAAAGCCCACACCCATGCCAAATACGCAGGATGGCTTGGCACCACTGCTGTGTGCTTGCACTCTTTGCAGCACAAGCTGCAGGGCTGTCTGCGATGGCCACTGAGCCTTCCTGCGGGGAGCAGTCAGAGAGCTGATACCTGATAAAATCCAGGAGCTGCTGGAAGTGGGAGTGTCCCCTCTGCCCTGCTTGCTGCACTCCCGCTTTCCCATCTGCCCCGCCCTGGGGGTTGCATGCACCACGGCCGTGCACGCATTGATCTCAACAGTTCTGTGCGTTTGACAGCCTTTTTGCCCACATCTTCTAGGGTGTGACAGCATCACTGTGTGTTCAGTGCAGGGCTGGACTTGTTTGCACTGGGAAATTTCCTTTCTTGCCATGGGGGACCATGCTGTGCCATCAGCCTTGCTGATGCCACATGCGCTGAGCAGCACCAGCAGCCCCTCTGCTTTATCTCACAGGACACAGTGGCTGCATGCCCAAGCTAAAAATCTGGGTCCTGCATTCACAAACTTCAGGGCTGACTTAGGGGTTGCTGCTTCTCAACTGATTATTTAGCTTGATTTAAATGCTGGGATAAAAGAGAGGGAGTGTGTGCATGTGTGTGTGAATGGGGAGGGGAGCAGGAGGGAAAGAAACAATGACCTGACAGGACAGCCAAAAGGTTGAGGAGTTAAATGGGCTAATATCCATAGCATATAATGTGTGTGTGTGTCTATATACATTAAAGATATATTACTGAAAACTCAAGAATGTCGCCACTGTTTATATTAAAGGAAAGCTGAGAGTTAAATGAGATGGGTAATCAGATGCCCAGCATATGTTGTTTTGAATTGTTTATATGGCCAATAGTTATTAAAATTAATTATCCTTTCAATGCAGTCTTTTCACAATCATAGTCTTCTTTGGGTTTTTTTGTGAATTTTTTCCTTTGTACAAAAGATAGAGTCATTTCAAAACAAGCTAATATGGGCTATTTGGAAAAGGCAGAGCAAACAATACCAGGATATATTATGACATGGTCATAGGCTCAACATGCTGATAGAAAGCACCAAAAATCTCTGTCGGAGTATTTTGAGAACTAATGTAAATTACAAAAATGGGGGGGGGGGGGGTTTGTGTGTGTAAAATTCTGTCAAAAAAGTGAGGCACTGAAAAATCTGACATCTGTTTATCTGTTTATAGCTATGGCAAGATTACTCATATTAATTCTTGTTTAAAATGCCATATGAAGGAAAGGCATTTGTGCAAACAAGAGTCATATTTGAATTGTAGATCATGTCTTCACCATCTGTGAGAGCTGTTGGTGTTGCAAAATTAATGTGTTAATGAAATCACAATAATTTCTCTGAAGTAATGGATTCTGAAGCCTAGAATGACTATTTTTTGAACTTTGGTGTCTAGTGGTTTACAACTGGGAAAACCTTTCACAGCTTAATTAGTTCTGCAGCCTTATTAAAAAAAAATAAAATTGGCTGTGCCTTTACCACACCAATAGCAACACAAAAAAATGGATTAAATGGAAAGCAGAGAAACAAAACAAAATTGAGCCTGCAATGCAAACTTTTTGCTGTAGTATTTGAGAAGTTGCTAAACAGGTCCTTGCTTGCCAAGAAGTTTTACTCAAAGTGACTTGTACACAAGAGTGGGCAAACAGCTCAGAAAATAATTCCAGCTTGCTGAAACATCACAAATTGGGACTATTCGAACCTTACGCAAATATCCCGACTTTTTCCAAGTTTCTCCTTGGAACGAAGGGCAAATAATCAATGATGCTTTTTGCTTTGTGATGCCATTTTGAAATACCACACTCTTTCCAACCTATTATTTGATACCTTTAGTAGAATACTAAATGTTACTGTGTGCTACAGTTCAGCAGAGAATGGTTTGTGCTCATTTCCAGCAATTCTCTGAGTCCTTTTCCAGTTCTCACACTGCTTGTGTAGTATGGCATCTCAGATGGCACAGGCGTGCTTAGATTACCACCAAGGAGTAATCACAGCCATACTCATAAGGACTTTGCATACTTATATATGCGTGTTATAACAGTTTAGGCCAGCTGAGGATTCTTCTCTGTGCTTTGGGTTTAAGATATATAAGGCATCGTGTAAGGTAGACCTGAGATCACAGGAGCCAGAAAAGGGAGTGGCATTCAATTCATTAATATGTTAGGAAAAAAAAAAGGTGCAGTTTTCACAAATGTAACTTCTTTTTTTCCTGTTAGAAAAAGAATGTATTTAGCAACTGAAAAGTTACTTTTAAAATAACACTATGAAGGGAAGATTGCTTTTCTTACCTGATTTGATTTTATTACTGTGTTGTAGGTATGTGACTGGTGTAAGCACATAAGACACACAAAAGAGTATCTGGATTTTGGGGACGGGGAAAGAAGGCTTCAGTTCTGCAGTGCAAAATGTCTCAATCAGTACAAAATGGACATTTTCTACAAAGAGACACAGGCCAATCTTCCAGCTGGACTGTGCAGTACATTACATCCTCCAGTCGAAAATAAAGCAGAAGGCACTGGGGTGCAGCTGCTGACTCCAGATTCTTGGAATATACCGCTAGCAGATGCTCGGAGAAAAGCCCCATCCCCAGCGTCTGCAGCTGGCCAAATTCAAGGCCCTGGACCATCAGCGTCTACCACTGCCTCTCCGTCTGACACTGCCAACTGCTCTGTCACTAAAATCCCCACGCCAGTTCCCAAACCTATTCCCATCAGTGAGAATCCAAATATTCCACCAGTTTCTGTCCAGCCACCTGCTAGCATTGTGCCTCCAATTGGTGTCCCTCCTCGCAGTCCTCCCATGGTGATGACAAACCGTGGGCCAGTTCCTCTGCCCATATTCATGGAACAGCAAATTATGCAGCAAATCCGTCCACCGTTCATTCGTGGGCCACCTCACCATGCCTCAAATCCTAACAGCCCTCTGTCAAATCCAATGATTCCTGGAATTGGTCCCCCACCAGGTGGTCCCAGAAATATGGGTCCCACCTCTAGCCCCATGCACAGGCCAATGCTTTCCCCCCATATCCATCCCCCCACAACACCTACCATGCCTGGGAATCCTCCTGGCTTGTTGCCACCTCCCCCTCCTGGAGCTCCTTTGCCCAGTCTTCCCTTCCCCCCTGTCAGCATGATGCCAAATGGTCCTATGCCTATGCCACAGATGATGAACTTTGGATTGCCATCCCTTGCCCCACTGGTGCCACCCCCAACTCTACTAGTGCCATATCCCGTCATTGTCCCTTTGCCCGTTCCCATCCCCATTCCCATCCCCATCCCTCACATCAACGACTCCAAACCCCCCAACGGCTTCTCCAGCAATGGTGAAAGCTTCATTCCGAGTACCTCCAGCGAGACGCCTGGGGCAAAGCCAACCAATAGCTCTTCATCCCCTCGAGAGTCAAAGCAAGGATCATCCAAATCCTCTGACTCATCACCGAGCTGCTCAGGCCAGTCCCTTAATCAAGCTAAAGTGCTTCAGGAGCACAGTAAAAATGAAGTTGTTGATTTGACTGTCAGACCTAGTAGTCCAGCGAACAGTAAATTTGGTTTCCCCAGTGTGCTGCAGGGTCCACAGGACGGTGTGATAGACCTAACAGTAGGCCACCGGTCTAGGCTGCACAATGTCATCCACAGGGCTCTACATGCCCAAGTGAAAGTTGAACGTGAACCTAACAGTGTTGTAAATTTGGCTTTTGGTAGCTCAGACAAAAGGAACTGCAGCGACTGCAGGGACAACTGCAGCCCAGTTGACTCAAAAACGTTACCATGCAGTGACGGAGCTCACTGCTGTCCCGTCTCCTTGGCCTCTGGCACGCCAGGACTGGAAGCTGGCGCAGCGGTGTGCAACGTCATTGTGAATGGCACAAAGAGCACAGAGGGTTCCAAGAACCCGGAGCCGCCCCAGGAGCCGAAAAAGCCCCAGTCCCCGGAGGAGCTGGCGGTGAGCGAGCTGGAGTCCGTTAAGGAGAACAACTGTGCATCAAACTGCCACCTGGAGGGAGATGCTGGCAAGAAGACTGGGGAGGAGCCCCTGGCCGGGGGAGACAAACAGGACCCGAACCTTAACAATCCAGCAGACGAGGACCATGCGTATGCTTTGAGGATGCTGCCCAAGACAGGTTGCGTGATCCAGCCTGTGCCAAAACCAGCAGAAAAGACTGCTATTGCGCCGTGCATTATCTCAACGCCAATACTCAGCACAGGGCCAGAGGATCTGGAGCCACCATTGAAAAGGAGGTGTCTCCGAATTCGAAATCAGAATAAGTAAAGGTTTGTGTAATCACTACTGCCTTCTGTGTGAATAGAATTCAGTATTTTCAGGTATGAGGGCAAACTCATGTGGATGTGGCCTTTATGAAACAGAAAGATACAAATTCCAATTTATGAGCACTTTCAGAAAACTATTGGTATTTGTGTTGTAGTATTGTTTTTTGTGTTGTATTGCATCTGTATTTGTCAGTTCTCCATTCATCAGCAGCCTCATTACACTTTTGCTCACAGAACATATCATGATGGTTCTGGCTGTGAAGTTATTGTGCTGTGTATGTCAAAATCAGTGGTTTTCTGCCTAGAATATGGTACAGGTCTGGACCATTAATCTGCTTACTTATTCCAGCTGAGTTACGCAGCAGCTCAAGCCTTCACGATGACTGAAATTGCCCTGCAGTGTAGCATAGAGCCAGATGACCCAGCAGCTTCCTGCTAGCTCACATCCAATGCACTCAGAAAATGGTCACCTCCAACCATCATGCTTTGGTCTGCCTCCAGACTGCACCCTGGCTTTCCACTGAGCTGTTCTCTAGAGACTGAACTCCTCTCCTTGGGCTTTCCTTTCTCATGTATTGGTGCTTAGGGACTGCCAGCTGTGTGGGACCTGCCTGCTATAGCTTACTGCAGCAAAACCTCTGCCATGGAGCTTTACTGCCTTGTCTGAGATATCTGTCTTTGGTGCAAGTCTCCCACCTTAGAAAAGCAGCTGACATGTGCCCCAGCCCTGTGCTTGGTATATGTTTGTGGCTCCTGGTAGGGCTCCAAAGCAAGGCAGAGATGTAGGTAACTCCACCAACCCCCATGGCTTGTCCAAGGACAGTGCTCCAGATGCAGAAACCTCTCATCCTTTGTTTCCATTTTCCAGCCTACTGAATCCCCCTGATAGCATAGCATCTTTGTAAAACTCTAAATGTGTGTCTGATGCTTCAAACCTGTGAGTGAGAAACTGTCTAATGAATCTTCCCTGTCTAACCATCCAAGAATGGCTCTGGCAGTCACTCTCATACCATCTGAGTGGGACAGAAGTCCCTCCATAGCTACACACCCCACACTCACACAACCAGACCAGGTTTCCTCACTGGCTCGACCCCAGGTTTTCCATAGCAGAGTTCTCAGACATCCCAGTCATTAAAACAATTTCATCATGGTGCAATAAATAAATAGCAAAACAGCTCGAGCTGATGCCTTTGAGTAGGGATCCAGAACAAAGGAACCCCTGGGCTTTTTTACCTTGCATATCCTTACAGTTTAAGCACAGGAAAGTCTGGGGGTTGTTGGGGGTGTCTGGTCACCCTGTGTCCTTTGTTATGGAAAGGATCAGTGCCCATTCCCACCCTCTTGCCTGGTGCTCAGGCTTGGGCTCTGGCCCCCCCAGAGCTCAACCTGCAGCTGGCTCTGCAGCTGCACACTGTGCTACCTGCACTGAATATATTCCTTAACAAAACTAATGTAATGGAATTTATTTAGATTCACAAGCATGGAGATCTTCTTTCAGGAAAAGGGGAAATGGTGGGTGTTACAAGAAATCTGTTCAGCAGTAAAATACTGATGCTTCGCCGGATGTGGCTTGGTGACATGCCAGATTTCATTACAATCCGTGGAATATTCTGTAGCCTCCAGTAAATCCCTGTTCCTGGTAGCACAAATAGTGACTGCAGTGGTGTTTGGCACCTACAGCCACAGATAGCAGCAGCAGGCTGTGTAATCTGGGCCATTGCAGTATCTCCCTGCTCCATCAGTGTGGGCTAATTGCACCACCAAAGATATATAGTATATCTCCCTTCTCATTTGTTAACACTGAATTCCCTGTGCTGGTTGCAGGGCTGGAATCATTTCTTCCCTTGATCACCAGCAGTATTTATTTACTTTCTTTGGTGGAGCACAACCATTATTCTTTGCTCTCAGCGTGTGCTGACACATTTAAAAGATACACTAATAAGAAGAGAGGACAGCTATCACATTCTTGGACTAGTAATCAGCATATACAGTAACTCGGGAGTCAAATTAATATTTAAAATCTTTACACACTCCTAGGTCCTATTAGTGGGGATCCCCCTACCTGCCCCTGAGTTATGGAATGTATGTCCCTCATCAGTCATATCTTTATTGCAAACCCTGGTGTTACCTATGGAGCTTGAAAGATTCCCTTCATAAATGTATGCATGCTTCTACCTGGGGGTAGTGATTTGATCTAGTGAGAAGGCTGCTATTTGGCTGTATCCTTTTTAATAAATTTTAGGAGAGCCATGCTTAACCCTTCCTTTCCCACCTCACTGAAACTTTTCATAGCTGCTTATTTCAAGACAGTGCTAGAAGACTTGCACATTTATGTGCAAGCATGCACATTTATGTGCATGCACATTTATGTGCTTACTCTGTAGTCAAAGACAGGCTGGTTCTTAGCATCTATTTCTGCTTGCCTGGACTATCCAGGCTGCAGCCTCTTCAAGGTCCCAGTCCCAAGAAGAGTTTAGTATCATTAAAAGCCAGAGCCCAAACCCTGAGAGAGAGTTCTAGCTTCACTGAGTTGTGTATTTTTGCCTGTTGACATGATTATTCATGACATCACTTCACAGATAGTATTTGAGAGAGAAAGTTGGCAAACTGAACAAGCTGCATTGGAAAGACAAGGATTCTTTATCATTCAGTTACTGTCCTCAGCCCTTTGGATTCTCTAAATGTCAATAACTGCCACTGTGATTATCCTCAGGAATAGCGGTTTTCCCTTTCATCCTGAGTTTTTCATATTTCTTTGCCTTAGTGTAAGGGTTGTCTTACAGGGAAGTTTTCAGGTTGCCAGGCAAGATTAATCTGACCCAAAACAGACATGTGTAACAAAGATGCAGCTGAGCTAATTGTCTAAACTCTCTTTAACCTAGAGAAGCAGGCACTTCAAAGAGACAGCTGAGCTCATCCCAGAGTCAACAGCTAAGACAGCTCAGATGAATTGTGCCCTAGGAGTGCCTATTTCTGCCTGCAACGAGGTAAACTTAGGGTGACTGGCACAGACCTAGATGTTCACATCGAGGTAAACTTAGGGTGACTGGCACAGACTGGCACAGTGCCTGTTCACACAGGCACTGGAAGTTAAGAAGCCCAGCCTAGGTGTCTGCTGTACCCCTGGGGTTTGTGCAGTAGCATAGCACGGCATGGTGATGGTTATTCGTCTGTGTCCGTCCCCCTGTTCCTCCAGAAAAAGAAAAGAAGTAGCCTCTGTGCAGAAGATATGGGAGACCAGGGTCCTTATGTGCTCCAAGGGAAAGAGGATACTCCAAACACTCTGCAGAAGTAAACAGCATGGTAACCATCTCATTCCAGTGGGCACCTCCATGAAATGCGGGTGGGTTTTGAGCGTCCCAAGGCACGCACGAGTGATTTGTGCAGCTCGGATGATTGATTTGAGGTGAGGACTCTGTGGTTTCATGCAGAGCCCTTCTTTTGCTCTTTCAGCTTTGCTGGTCATAGCCAGTCTGGGGGAGCAAAAGGGCTCTGCCTTAGATTTCTGCCCTCCCTGCCTGTGAGGACTGAGCAGGGCTCAGAGCCTGTCTGTGTGTGTGCAGAGACATAGAGAGGAGAACATCAGTGTAGCCTCTTGCACCCGCAGACCTGACCTCTGCCATGCCCATGAGTTAGTTCCTCCTGCCCAGGCCTCAGGAAACAGGGAGATAAAATCCTTCTTCTGCAGTCCAGTTGTGGGGAGGATTCCTTAAGTGAGACTCCAACCTCACAGAAATTCTAATAAATTAGAAAAAGGATAGAAGCTGCACTAACAAATGTGTTGCTTTGGGCCCGTGGAGGTTTGTATTGATAGCACTGGCCACACTAACCTGGGAGAAAAAACGTCCAGTCAGTTGTCTTTTTCCCTCTTGCTTCTCACCTACTTGAATTGGAAAATCTGAACATATTGCCCTAATGTGCAACTTTTCCTGGATTTTATTTCCCATCAAATTGTGTGACAAGAAGGAAATTAGCCAAATATTTTTACGCTAGAGTTCTGGACAGACAGATTGAATTCATGTAACAACAACACGGACTCTCTAAAAAGGAATCAGTGCAAGCGTGACCTTTTTGGGCAAGTTGCCAATTTCTGGAATATTTAATGTACCAATTACTTGATTATTGAAAGTGCTAATCAGCAACATAATCCTTGATGTTAAAGTTTAGTTTCTCCATCAGGATGTGGACTGTCAAGCTGTTCTAACTTGATGCAATTTGAAAAACTATCAAAAGATGTCTCAGTGCCAAAGTCCTGCTATGATAAAGGAATGAAGCTAGAAAGAGTATTCTGTTGAGTGTTATATTTTCAAGTTTGAGCAATGTGAGCTTCTAAAATTAGCAGTGTTAGTGTTGCCTGCCTACATGCTTTATGCCCTGGCGGGATCAGTTTTAACCCGCCAGCTTTGATGTCAATGTTTCCTAAAGCAAAGAAATGAAAACACTGAGGTCTGCTTGGATTTAACATGATAGTTATGTTAAACTAAATGAGAAAATGAAGTGGCACATGCTAAACTCACAACTAGCTTCTGTGTGTCCATATGTGTGTGTGTTGGGTAATCCTGTGTTGGGGACAGAGGGGTCAGGAAAGGAAGGAGTTTTTCTGTTTGTGATAGCAGAATTTCTTCCAGAAGTAATGGAAATAGTAAGTGTATGGCCACCTACAGAGCCAACCTGTATGTCCCAGGGTCAGCATCTGCTATGTGAAAGGCCCAAATCTTCAGCTGCCTAGTCCATGCACTGTACTAGTAAAAATATACAGCATGCAGAACACTCTGTTCAGAGCAGAAGTAGCATATATCCCACTTTGAGCTCCTCTGCCCATAATGGTCCAGCACAAGATTTCCTGCTCTGATCTGGATTCCTGAAGCAAGGGGCATAGCTATTAACCTCCTTTCCTTTTTAGCCTTAGAGATTTTATATCTCCACTGTCACTGTGGTATCTGTCTACCAACATCTTGCTTACCTCTGCCCAGCTTGCTATGATCAGGACAAAATTTGACCTT